ATTGAGACCTTCAAGTTCGGCGATTCTTCTGCGAAGAGTCGCCGTTCACGATCTTGTTCCGACAGGTTGTCCGTAGGATCCCTAGTCGTCACAAGTTCGTTGTTTTGTGGTTTTTCTATATTTTTATCCATATAGTTCCCACGAGAAGTCGAGAAATAAAGGTCCGTCACAGCAGAGCTCGATACTGTGATAAGGCTGTATACTCTATGGTGCGCCAGGTGCCATAGAGGATCCCAATGGTCACTTTACCTTTCGGCTAACTACCCTGTGACAAGTTAGCAACCCTTTCACTTGGTATGGCTGGGTTAGGGGGACCTATTCGCTGTTAGCAAGCAGATATGCCCGGGCCTACCGGTCCCAACTAACCTAAGTCATGACCGGCTAAGAGCAGTGGTACATGTTGCCACCCCCCCTGAAATAACTAAGGTCCGCGGGGTTATTAGGCCCGTAATCCTTGCAGATTCTCCTGCCGGAGTTTTTTTAGATAAGTAAATCATTAAAATTAATTAAGTTCTGAATATTTCCGCTGTAGAGTCTTTTTAAACGCCAAAAGTTAATCAGAAATGATTACTATAATTTTATTTAAGTGATCTATTACGATAAAAATGTAAAAAAAATCTAATTTTTCTGATAAATGTACTGTAAATAGTAATTATAAAATTTCCTGATTGCATATTCATCTTAACAATTTCATTTTTTTCTATTTAATAATGTCAATTTCAAACTTGCAAGTTGAGCTAAATGTTATGGTAATGAATTCATTTTTTTTTTTTTATTAAAACTTTCACTTTTAAGGACAAAAATAAGTAGGTTCAAAATTATTACTTTTAACATATTAAAAATCAAAATAAATAATAATTTGAAAATAATTAATTTAAAAAATTATATAATATATAATTAAAAGAATTTCTAATCTGGGTAAAATTAAAGAAATAGAAGTTTATGTTGCTTTTGTAGTTATTCATCAATTTTATAGAATTAAACACTATCTACAGATTTGCATCGAAGCGTTTCTTATGATAGTGATTTTAATCACTGTCAGATTAAATCTATACTGGACTCAACTATGCAACGCCCCACTATGCCGCGACCCCACTGTGCTGGGTTTATTTATTTATTATTATTTTTTGTCTGTTACCACTTTTTCTCAGCTCTCACCGAACGGATTTCTTTCAACGATACGTCAAAAGATCACAAATTGTGTCTAGTCGAAGACATTACCCTCAAAAATTGAAAAAAATTCCCTCGTTCCCCGAAAATGGGGGAAACCTCCAAAAAAATTACGAATTTAAAAATCGCTAATTTTCGAAATTTTTTCAATTTTATTTACTTAAAAGTGCCATAACTTTTTCAAAAATAAACATATCAATATAATTTTTTTTATATAGATACATAATATTATTACCTTTCATTTGGTATATTTTTTTCATAAATTTAACCCTTAATCTGCCCATAAGGGGGGATTTAAAATGACAACTTTTTCACAAAAAATTAATTTTTTCAACTTAACTTTTGAAAATGTTCCGGAAGGTCTGACACTTTTATATATATCTTAAATTAAAGATAATGTAATGTTCTTTATTATGCAAAAAAAAAAATCGAACTTTATATTATATTCATGGTGAAAATGGTTACCAAATGCTATTGTTGTGTGAAAATTTTCGATTTTTTATTTTACATTTTTAACTTTATTATGCTATAACTTTTTGAAAAATGTATGGATCAGTACAATTTTTTCATGAGGAGTAGTATTTATATACATCTTTTATTTGACATACTGTTTTTTTAAATCAGACCATTTTCCTATATACGAGGGGGGTTCAAATCTAAAAAATGCTCGTAGAAAGTAGAACTTTTTCAACTTAATTTTTGAAAGTGTTCCGGAAATACTGACACTTTCATATACATATCTTAAATTAAATCTAATATAATATACTTAATTATGTAAAAAAAAACCAGCACAGTGGGGTCGTGGCATAGTTGGATCTAGTATTGGATGATATCCGACAGTGATTAAAATCACTATCATAAAAAACCCTTCGATGTGAATCTGTAGTGTTTAATTTAAAAAAAAAATTGTCAAAAAAGTAGGTCAAGTGAGAACTGAGAATATAAATGATAGCTACAAAAAAATGCCACATGGTAAAATAATATTAATATGAATTTCTTCTGACGAAAGGAGACTACAGTAATAGGACATGTTTGAACGGAACGCCCGGTTATAATGTGTGGGTTAGTTAACGTCCAGTTGGGTTATCTAATTATGCCGGAGAAAGAAATAGGGAGTGGAATGTATATAAGAGGATGGTACTTACACTAAATAAAATAATAAGAATTACAAGATAAGGAGTTATATTATATATATATATAATATCATAAAATTGGGGATTGGGTGGACACTTAATACTAATGCAACAATGCGTAAAATAAAACAATTAATAAAATAAAAATTAGATAGAACAATATGATTTTACAAACTACTTATACGATACTAATGATGATGACTAGTTTGATGTGAATAAAATGTGAATGAAGTTGTTGGCATGACAATTGTACGAGGCAGAACGTACTTTGGCGCAAATAGTACTTTAAGGTGTACTAATTTAATTCTCAATGCGCGTATCGCAAGAGCGATAAAACTAACGCACAAGGGTGCGACAATCGCAAGGGCTACATATAGTGTCTTTAACAATTACGTGTTCGCAAGCACCGTAAAAGCATAAACAAAACAAGTTAAAATGGTGGCGAAAGACGCAAAATCACAAAAAAAAAGACCAACAGTAACTCGATGTCATACAACAATCGTGTACGTAATTATCCAACGTAGTGAATCGCTCACACAACCGGTGGTGGTAGGGCGAGACGTTATCAGTCATAGAAATACGATGTAGAAAACGCCCTCTCGTAATGCGTACCCAACAGGATCCTTGATATTTATTGAAGTTATTGAATCTAAATGAGATAAAAATCAAATAAGTTAAACATTTTTTTCTAACTCAAAAAGAATTAAGAAAAAATCAGTGCCGCAGGCGTGAAAGACCTAAGTGTTACCGTCTCAGAAACTGTACGTCGCATTCGTCAATTAATAAAAATAGAAATTTAGCTAGTTCAAATTTTAAAGTTATTTTTCTCAACTTCAAAGAAACAAAAAAATTTAAATATGTATAACTTTTTATACTATGTCAATTAGATTGATATAATATTTATAAAAATCAGTGTAATCCTCTTATAATAAAATAAAATACAAAACCAAGAATTTTAACACAAAAATAGCATATATTTGAATACAGTAGCTATTTTCACTATGAAGACAAAATAAAATCTGACATTTTATTTTTTAATATTAAAGTATCTTTTACAAGCTTTAATTTAAGATATATATAAAAGTGTCAGTATTTCCGGAACATTTTAAAAAGTTAAGTTGAAAAAGATTATTTTTTGTGAAAAGTTATCATTTTGAATCCCCTATTGTGGGCAAGTAAAGGGTCAAATTTATAAAAAAAATATATCGTATGATAGGTAAAAACATTATACATTTATTAAAAAAATTATATTGATTTGTTTAATTTTGAAAAAGTTATGGCAGTTTTAAGTAAAAAAATTTTCTTTGATATTATCTTTGATCTTTTTATATTGTCTTTGACTAGATACGATTTGTGATCTTTTGACATATCGTTGAAAGAAATCCGTTCGGTGAGAGCTGAGAAAAAGTGGTAACAGACACAAAAAAAAATAAACACATCATAGTAAAACCAATACCTTCTCAGCTTCGCATCGAAGCTAAAAGGTAACCAATCAAGTAGACGTAGGTTTTATTGTAGAGAATCTTTTCTAAATAAAATATACACACAAAGGCTAATGAATCGAAGAAAACGCAAGTGTCTATAAACGATTGTTAACACTGAAGCAATAAATCACCATAGAATAAACTCAGATAACTAGAAAAGGAAATAATGGTAAGAGCGAATATTTACTTGTATGCTTTACTTCTTAAAAATTCACGTAATAATCAAGAATAAGAATAAGTGAGGTAAGGATATTTTATTGTTTGATAACTAAAGATAGTTCGAGCCCGAGATACCACTTCATTCTTAATCCCTTTATATTTTAATATACATATTATATGCTTCAGCTTTATTTTTTTTTTATTATATGTATAACAATCAAAAAGTTAGAGTGGCGGTGGCCACTCTAAAGAATCAGCAAAGACGAGACTTAACTCGACGACATGGTGTCTGAGTAGTTGTGTCATACAGTAACAAGTAATACATACACTCAATAAAAATATATTACTTAAACATTGTTCGCCGTGGAAAATATAAATAAAAACCAATACATCTTTTTACACAAAATTTAACTACCCCTTTTTACGGATTTCATAAAACGCCCACGTAGAAGATTCTATCACATTGATCAACCAAATCTAAAATGCATATCTTAAGAGTCTCACTAGAGTTCGTTAAACCACTTTTATGGACTATAGTAAAGTTAAATAATAGTGCTATTCTTTTTCTGACAATAAAATAGTTGTCAAATAAATATAAGTAGTATTTTACTTCAAATATTTTTGCGGCTTTTTTTTTTTAGACTTATATGTTTTTAAATATTTATTTTTTATTTATATTTTGAAATATATTTTTATGTTTTGATTGTAAAAGGAAAATATTTTTTCAATAGATTGGGGGCTAGTAACAAAGAAATTTGAATTTAACTATAATTTGAAAACATTACATTTTTTTAATTACATTTTGTTCTATATAACTATCAGTTTTGATTATTATGTTAATATGATTAGATATTAACCAACATAGATACCTAATATATTAGGTATTTTTAAAGCATGGAATGATATTATCGTTCCAGAAGCTATAATTTCATTAAAAAACTAATTTAACCAAAATTTTTACATAAATGCTTCAAAGTCAATAGAATAATTTGTAATAAACATTTTTGGATCTATTGGATGATATTTAATTTTTGAAAAATAACGTTTTCAATACCTGAATTAAAAAAAATTCAAATGTATATTTTCTTTCAAAAAATTAAATACTAATAAATTCTGAACAATAATCTGAGAACATAACACATCAATATATTTTATTTACACTGTATAATAATTTATATCTATAAAGAATAAAAAACAGCATTTCAACATTAATTTTGTTGAGCATAATCGTCCAAAAAGTAGGTAACCATATTTCCTTTTCCTTTTACTTCTATGACACCACGACACGTTAACGGGTATCCTTTTAATTTGAGTATTTGATAAACTTCATCGGTTACCTAAAAATTAAAAGTTTTACTTTAATTACAGTTTAAAGTTGTTCGATTAGATATATGAAATATACTAAGTTCAAGTGCAAAATAATTTATAAAAATTTGTTACAGCAACGTAGTTTTCAATGGTTAATTTTTGAACTACATTGATTTTTAAGATATTTCTTATAGCTAAGTTAGCTAATTTCATATATTAATTTAAGATTTAAAATTTTTAGCTCAGATAACTAGTTATTAAAATCTTACCACAAAAATGTGTGTATAAACCTGGAAAATATTTTTTTTGTCATATATTTTTTATAACATTACAATATTTATAAATTAAATTTATTTTTATTGGTTTTTCTGAATATTTTAATAATTTTATTTTTAGTTTAGTATCTGAAAAATAATTGTGAAAATTCCCTCTTATTCTACGAAAACCAAGAATAATTCAACAAAAATATGGGTTTATATGATTAAAAATAAATAAAAATTTATCACTAATTGTATCTGATACTAAAACCGAGCCTGAGTTTTAAAATTTATCATAAAATTATGACTAACTTGTATTTGATCGAGAATTCCCGTTGAGTCCATTCTACTAGCGACATTTACTGCATTACCCCAAATATCGTACTGAGGTTTTCGAGCACCAATAACACCAGCTACTACGGATCCAATATTTATGCCTAAAAAATATTAAGTAAAATGTTTGCTATTCTAAGGAAAAGAAAAAATAGCTAAAATCATTATTTTAAATTTGCCAGTTATTTCCCTAAAAATGATTCAACGTGTTATTATTTTGATAATGTACAAAAAATTTAACTGATTTCATAATAAATGAATATTATTTTAATTGATATTAAAAGTTGTTAATATTTTTCTAACCTATTCGAATGCGAAAATTGTTAAATGAATGCTCATTGACATAGGCCAATTGCTCGCGCAGTCGTAGCGCATAATCCGCCATGGCAGTGACGTGTGAAAACTGACGGCTGTCACATGTATTCCTCGTAAGACCAGACGCAGCCATGTAAGTTGCACCTGTAGATTTGATCTTTTCTATACATTGAAATCTTGGTTCACTGAGCAACTCGTCAAAATCGGCTATGATTTCATTCAACAGTCGCAAACATTCTACGCCTTCATTGTTAGCTTCCAATTCCACATAGAATTCAGAAAAGTTTGGTATAGATGCGAACATAATACACACATGATCGCATTGTTCATGATATAACTCCTACAACGATTTACAAAGTTTAGCCATCTTTGAATAAAATGTCTAAACAAATTATATTATATTTTTATTTAGAAACATAACAAAATTTCAAATATTTTTACTTGCCAATTACTAAATTAATTCATTATTGTGTTATATTTTCATTTCAAATTTCACATTTTTTTCATATAAAGTTTATATTGGGAAAAAAAAAAAAATAATACTTCTAAAATTTCAGTAGATCAAAAGTTATTAGATGTTAATTCATCGTCTAAATCTTTTAAACTTCAAGGAAAAAAAATAATGTTTTTTTTTTATTAGCGATTTTAAAAACTCTTAGAATTTCAAAACTAATAATAAAATACAGTTGGTTAGTAGGTATATACAAGTGAGACGGAGTTGGTTCGTTATGATGACAATTGGTTGTAGACGGGTCGTTGAATAAAACAAGTTAAGTTATAAATAATATAAATAAGACGAAAGTAATAGTATTTCAAACTATGTCTATAATGGCCACTCAAACACAACTGCCCTTTGTTAGTTCGACGTCAGTAGCTCCGGGCTACAGACGAGTAGAATTGTCACATCAGCATCGCCCTCTATGCTAATTAATATGTATTACGAATTAAGTAAATGGAAATAAAACGTGTGTAATATGAGTGGTAAAAACATAGTAATAAATTTTCTTACAGTTTGCATTAATGGATAGAAAATTCTCTTATAAGAAGTAACCTTCTTGTTTTTAATTATGAAAATNTGTATTACGAATTAAGTAAATGGAAATAAAACGTGTGTAATATGAGTGGTAAAAACATAGTAATAAATTTTCTTACAGTTTGCTATTAATTGAAGCATTAATGGATAGAAAATTCTCTTATAAGAAGTAACCTTCTTGTTTTTAATTATGAAAAGTATGTTAAATTATATAAATATATAATATTGGAAGAATAACTAACGTCAACTGGTTTGTCTAATGTCAAAAAATGTTCTGCGACGTGAACTGGAAGAATGTTTGCCAAAAGCTTACGATTATAAGCTTCTAAATGTTCCATATCTTCTTTTTCCTCTATAATAATTATTAAACAATATAGTTTCGTTTAATGATACTTTAATTTTAATGATCAAAAAATATTTACTATACCTGTCGCTTGTAATTTCCAAAGAAAATCGAGCCTAGAAGTAACTTCAGTTTGTTGCGCTTGTAGGATTAATGCAATGATTAGTCCTACCATTATGACAAACATTAGAATTCGGATCCAAAATGATTCTTCTATTGGTCTATGTACAAATATAGTTTATATTAAGTACAACCATTTAAATTGTATTACATTTTCAAACAAATTAAAATTTAAAATTATTTAAAAGTTTCTTTAAACGCTCTCTAAATATTCATTTAAATCTACAGATGTTTACTTTCTCATCGGTATTAATATAAACTGAACTAAGATTTGCATTTTTACAGATTAAAATATGATAATTTTCAGCAGATTTAGTAATCAATATGAAAATATGATAAATTCAAATAACTTTATAATAAAGATTATCCATTGAAAAATATTATGCTTAATTTTTACTCCTTATGTCATTTAAGTGTGAATAAATTTTACTTGATCTCTTTATGAATTAAAATCATAACTAACAATTAAACTAACCTGTGGTTCAAAAATATACTGGATGATATGAAATAACTGGATGATATGCATATCAACAGGAAAAGTTTAACGATACTGATGAGTACTTGATACACAGCTACCAATATCATAAGTATTATTATACAAACTGTCATGTACTAAGGAAAAATATTAAGCGAATTAGAATATAAAAAAACATTGAAACTGAATATTACATTAAACAATAATTGGCAAGTATTTTCTAAGATCAATGAGTCTTCTATATCATTAACTATATGCACGTTCGTTATATTTTGATATTGTTCATTAAAACATACTTCTAACTTATATTTAATCTGAAAATATATAATATCTCTGTACTATAAAATAATATTTTCAATTTTTTATTAAACTTTTAAATATTCACTAATGAAATAGACATACCAATGGTGTCATGGAGGTTAAAAAACAACATATGACAATTGTCACTGCTAGCGATTGGGCCAATGATCGATTTTGATTGATAGCTTGAGATGCTTTTTTAAGTATTACTGTTACTTCCTAAAATATCAAATATTAAAATATCAAGTAGTTCGAAATAATAATTTCAGCATGTAAATGCTTATATTATTTACCGTCCGCTTACTGTGTAATATGACACAGGCTGCTAGTAAAATCACTATCCACCCTATAGCCAAACATCCTATTAACAAATACGTCCTGGAAAAAGTAGGGTTTCCATTAATTAATTTTTCACAATGTATCCAATTAAATGATTCAATGTAAATAGTTGGTACTTACAATGGTAGAACTATTATGTGTCCAGCAGTTATAGCACAATATATACATACAGTACAGGCCATATATGAATGAAGCATTCGGTCGGGTTCTTTGCTATACTATGAGAAAAAATATACTAGTAACAATTTTTACATTAAATACACATTAAGATTTTTGAAAAAAAAAAAGAAGTATTGCTTACGACTTGTTCAATATTAGGATCTTTGAATTTCAATGTAATTGGATAACAGTATTGGGCTTTGAGTCGGTCAATACTTCTTGCATCAATAGCGCATAACAAATATTCATCCACTTCTCCGTTATGTAATTCTGGTTCATCTTTACTGGAAGCAAGAAGTATCGTATATACCTTTATTATTATTATTATTATTTCTTTTTTTTTTTGTAAAATAACTATACAGTAAACACGTTACAATAATAATATTTAACCACCTTTTTTTTTGTCTATAAATGAATGAACAAAATAGTAAATGGTTATACGATGTATATTTACATTTAACTTATAACATACTATTGGTCTTTGCGAACAAAAAAATGATTTAATTTTCATATATATGTACTGGAAGTTTTTATTGCATACAATGTAAAGGAAAATTTTGATAATCAGTGACTAAAAATGTATGAATTTTCGATACTTAATACAAAATTATGCTACTTGAGATTAAAAATAACATGTATATTAAAAGTATTATGCTGACGTATGAGAATTTATGGATTATTTCTTACAGCATAATAATTATATTATATTTAAGTGTATAAATTAGTATAATAAAAATATTATTTTTCATGATAAATTATCTTAAAATGAAGTTTTTTTTTTACTATTTATTAATTAGGTCGAGATTAATTAGTCTTCATCATGATTGTTAGTTATTTATTGCATGTAACTTTGTGTTTACACATTAAAAGTTTTGGGTTTAACATACACTACAAGTTTAGAACATTATTTGCTAAATTAGATTCTCTAATATTGACGGAAATCTCAGTTTAAACTAGTTCGTTAGTCATATCCCTATTATTATACTTAATTAAAAATAGACTCTATTTTACTTAGATTAATTATAAATAATATTATTTATAATTTATCAGACTATTTTAAAAACAGAAACAATTTTTATAAGATTGAATATAAGTTGCTTATTAATTATAATATAAATATTTACATTTTGTTGCATTACATTATCAAGTATAGATTTTTCATTTATTTTAAAACCTACTTTATTACTATTTTTTTAATAAATGTTTAAAATCTACAACAATTATGATACCACGTAAACGTAGTTATATGCCGTTGATTGTGACCCATAATCCTGAACTCTTTTGATATATTGCCATTGTATGAAGGCCCGGGACTCTGCTTTTTGTAATACTGTGATACCTAAAATAAAATAAATTTCATGATAAAAATAATTTTTTTTAATCCAACACGCAAAATTTATTACAAAAAATAATGATATATTTTTAATAAATAAATGTATGTTATGTAATGAATTTTTCATTTCATTAAGATACACGTGTTAATGGCAACTGGTTTTATATTAATAACTATTTAAATATATATTTAAATATAGGACTTTTAAATGTATTGAATTATTTTTATTAGGCATAATATTATTTGAACATTTATTTTATGTGTATTATATATTTTTTTTCATTTAAATAGTATATAGATAAAAAGAAAGTTCAAAAATATTATACCTAATAAAAATAATGCGATACATTTAAATGTTTGAGTTTAAAAGATGTTTGTAATTTATTTTATATTTTAGATAAGACTGTTTAATTGTTAACAATTTGAAGTTCTATCACTTATTTACATAAGTCGTTTCTGGTGGTACTATCAAATATGTCTCGATGTTGTGATCTTTGAGAAAAGCATTTCGCTCTCCTCCGTTGCCAGGTTCTACTTGGTATGCATTTCCCAAGTATCTAAGAGTATCTGCTGTTATGTGTATCCTTCTGAAAATTATAAACAAAGATAATTAGTTTATGGGAACTTTTGATGAAAAAATTGATCACAAAAAACAGAAATTGTTACCCCGGTATACCACCGCTTTCCATTTGGTTAGCTAGTGTTACGTCATTAGACCATACATCAAATTGCCACTTACATAACCCCAAGACACCACAATGTACACGTCCGGAATGTATACCTACTCTCATGTTAACATTAACACCCATCACATCTCTTACCAAACTAAATGATTAAATAAAACGATTAAAATATGTAATTATAAATCTTTATAAAATCAAAACAAAATGTTATGTAGCATCATTAATAATTTAATAATTAATTATTCTACTAAAGTGGATACTTACGTGATAGCGTCAATCATGTCTAAACCCATTTGAACACAACAATTTGCGTGATCTGGTCTGGGTTCGGGAAGACCACTCACACAGTAATAACAGTCTCCTAACAATTTGATGCGTAAACATGAATTTTCTTGAGCCAACCGATCAAATCTAAGTAAAATAGAATGTTTTATATAATAAGTAGTATAAAATATATCAAGGTCTATATCTGTGACAATAATTTATTCCTACCTAGCAAACAGTTCATTCAACAACCTAACTAGTTCTTGAGCAGTACATTGATCTGATAGACTAGTAAAACCGCAGATATCTGCGAATAAAATGCTGTAAAAAAATATATATTTTACGATACCTTCATGAAATTTCCAAGAGTCAGTCTTCAATAATATTTGTGTTGGAAAAGGTTATTTTATTTTATAATTTCGATCGGGCAAATATTATTTTTTTGCTATTAAATCACTATTTTTATTAGAAGATATTTTACCTAACATTTTCATGTTTTTGTATATAAATTTTATGAAACATGCTGTCATGACGTTTACCAGCAATATCAGCTTTCATTTCCATAGCAACATGTCTAGGTAAAACGGACAAAAGCAGTCTCTCCTACAAATTTACACAAATTATTAAAGGCTTACAAAAAAAAACATTAATTGAAATATTTACTTGTTGTTGATTCACCCTTTGAGTTGTCAGTCTTGCTTGAACACATTGTCTAGTTTCTAAAAATGCTTGTCTTTTAGCCACTTCATTAGGGTAATGCATCATTACACCGGTTACGTTTGTACAGACCAGAAATAACAAATTAATTAAACTCTGAAACAAAAAAAGTTAATATAATAATTTTTTATTAACTTTTATATTTTTAGGGATTATTTGAAAATTAATTTTCATGATTTTAGTAATTAACTTTAAAATATATCTCAAAAAAAAAAAGTGAAATATTTATTTTTTATCAAATTAGTTTTAATTTTTCAAAGAAGTTATAAATATTTTTTTTTTTTTTCGATATTTATTCATATATCAACTTTATATACATAGTAGATTTTTTCATAGTACTCTATATAACTTTAATTCATTTCTTTTTGGTTTTTATTTAATATCTTTTCTTTCACATAAATTTTTTCGTTAATTTAATTACTCTAATATTTAAAAAGAAAAACTGAAAATAATTGATGTGACTATATCAGTTACGTATTTAGAAATTTTGTATGGTGGGTCCAGATAGTGTTTAAAACATAGAAAAGTAGGGATCCAATCGAACGTCACTGAACTACAGGAGCTTAATCCCCAGAAAAAGAATTAAAACCCTCCTCAGCATAAAAAAAATTCAAAAAATTATATTTATTGTTACATAAAAATAAATTTTGGAGTGAGTAAAAAACAATTTGATACTCCAAATTTTTTTTATTTGCACCTTTGGCCTGAACATCTCAATCTATTGATTGTATTTTGTATACTAATGATGGCACTTCCATACTATCTTTTATTTCCTATTCTATCTTTTCTAGTCAGCCCAAATATCTGTCAAACAATTTAATACTTAATTAACTCTTAATATGTATACTATACCTGTCTTGATAATTCTTGTTCCACTGAAATAGTAAACACTAGCTGTGATGTCATAAATATTGTCCCAGCAACAATAGCATATTGTAATTTAACGGGCAATAAACTGTATGATATGTAAACAAAAACTAATGTAGGAACGGTGATGGCTTGTGATTTGGTTAGCACGCCAAATGACAATTCGATTAATAAAAATGTTGCCAACACCACGTAAGAAACAAAACTTAAATAAACCTCATTTAGTCCAGATTTTGACATAATGCCTATTATAACTGTAATTACACAAATGTTTAAAAAAATTAAATTATTTCTATTGTTTTAAAAAATTAAAGATGCATTTTGCACTTACCTAAATAAATAATTATACAACACAATAGAAGCAAGGAACAATGAACCTGAGTCTCATAGTTTGAGAGAAGCACGGCTAAGGCTATACATGAAAACAGTAAACACAATAGCACTAGTAAATGAATCATGTGACTTTGATTAGTTCGTAGAAAATATCTCTGATACAGCATCTCAACCTAAACATCAATTGAAATTAAATTAATTAAACTTTTTTTTTTGTCAAAATAAAAAGAAAAGTAACATTTATTAAATAATTTCAGTAAACTGTACAACAAGAGATCCTTTTAATATATACGTTAAAATANGTATGGTTAATAGTGTTGGGCGGTTGATAAGAAAGTAGAGCAGAGAATGAGTGTAGCAGAGATGAGAATGCTTAGATGGATGAGTGGAGTGACTAGAGAAGATAGGATAAGGAACGAGCATATAAAAGGGAATATAGGTATAGGGTCAATCGTGGATAAGATGAGAGAAAATAGATTTAGATTTTTTAGTCATGTTATGAGGAGAGAAGAATTAGAAACTGTAAGAACAATTATAGAAATGAATGTTGAAGGAAGAAGAGTTAGAGGAAAACCAAAAAAGAGATGGAGGGATGCGATATTAGGACAGCTGATGTGAGCGTAGATGATGTGGGAGAGCATGTCAAATGGAAGTTTAGGATAAGGGTGGCCAACCCCAAGTAGTCGGGATTAAGGCAAGGAAGAAGAAGAAGAAGAAAAGTTAAAATAAGGGATATGGTTTTACTATAGCCACACCACGCCCTTTAAACTAATTATTATGTAAAGAATTTTATTTCAATATTTTTTAGTTTCATACATTTCTTGATTTATCAATTATTATGTTAATATGTATGTAAATTGAGAAATTTACATTAAATTAGGAAACCAATAAATCACAAGAAAATTTTTTTTTATATAATTGTTATTGTAAAAGAAAGTTAATAACTAACGTCAAAATAACAAATATAGAACATATTATTTCTATGCACCTTCCCATTATTTTAAATTAATATTAAAAACAGTTTTCAATTAAATTTTTTTCAAACTGGTCATTTTAACGTTTTATCTTTCTCTTCCCTATATAAATTATTATTAAAAGACAAAATTCATTTAATTATTTTACACAAAAATATTTTAAAATTCAAAAATTATTATGTAAAGAAATTATTTAATGGTAATTAATGTGTTCTGAAAAAAAAAAGTTTTATGAGTAACTAGCATTTATTAATTTACGCTATACCTTAATTATATTAAAAATTAATCTTTTATAGTTATACATTAAAAAGTTTTCACAAACTTGGTTAATTAAATCACATAATTCTTCGTTAAAATTCGCCCAATTAAATCTGAACTCTAACCTGTAAGTTATTGAACTGATGTGATGAAGTCAGCAATGTCGTGACTTTGTGACAGCATCCAAGTTTAGAAAAGTCTCGGAAAATGTCTCCATTCTCATCAGAGAGCCCAGATACAAATTTGGAATTGGGTGATAATGAAATCCTTTCACTAGCTTCTTGCTGCTGGTCGATCTCAGAATAATTAATCGTACCACTTGCACCACGACTCTAAAATGTTGTAAATAAAAAATTATTTTTTAAAGAAAAAAAAACCTATATTTTTTTAGTTTAAATATAATTTACAACTGTATATTTATAATTAATATGAAATTTCTATAATTAACTCGAAATTATCAACTATATTATATTCATTTAATAGTGTATATCCTTTATGTGAAGTCGCTAAAGAACATAATGAAGTTATTTTTGGATATGCTAATGTAATATATAACAAATGAAAATAGCTTTGCAGAAATTTTAATATATACGTAATATTAATATTTTTTTGCATTAAATAAACCAAATTATAGCGGAGATCTTAACATAGAAAAAATAAAAGTAAAAACAATTAATAAATAAGCTTTTAAATTAAAATTGAAAACAAGTATACCGTTATAAACGTTTTTGTCTAAATTATCTAAGGAGTGAAACAAATTTCAATTTCATTTAATATTGTTTGAAAGATTTATTTTGATTACAATATGCAGATACTATCTGAGACGAACTTTTACGTTGACTCATTAACTTGTTACAGAAATATATAAATTAAGTCCCTATTATTTTTTATTCAGTCAAGTTGAAATGTAAATTTTTCACATTTCAATTACACCTGATTAAATATCAATTTTAGCATTTACTAATTTTGATTGAATTATTTTTTCTTCATAGAACATCGTACATAGCAATACAACAACATACCCAATAACTTTAATTTTCTTTGTGAGCGACGTAGAGTTTTTCGAAGAAAACATGAAAATGCTTTCCATTTTCTTGATTACTTTGAGATATTCGAGCACGACTAATTTCTTACTTTTAAATAACAGTTGTAATGTTTCAAGTAAAATTAATATTAAGTTTTGTACACATTGTTAAATCTGTTGCTATTTTACTAAAATAAATGAAATCACATTTCCAAACAGTAATAAGAAAAATATTATTTCTATAAAATAAAAGTTTATGATATAATTTTGTCCGTTCAGTTTGGATTAATAAAACATAATTGCTGTTATAATTTCAGTAAAATTGACTTTTTCTAAAAAATACATATTTAAACTTGGAAACTTGGATTGAGAACATGACTCAGTTAATTACTAACTTAAAAAAAACTATAGTCATAATTTTAGTACCTCATAGAGTACTTCAATGAAATAAATGTTTTATTATTATAATTTATTTCGCACAAATTTGTTTGACATTAGTATAGTAATTTTCATGTACATTTATGGTATCTATGAAGCGAGTTTAATAAATATGAATCATAGTACAATAAATAAAAATCATTTAATTAATATTAAAAATAGATGTGAAAAACAACTTAAATTTCTTAAAAAGTAATCGTACTACATTAAGATGGATTTATTTAGATTTATTTATTTATAAAGTAGCTCGGGATAATCGAAAAATGTTGATTTCCTAAAAAAAAACTTCATTACGTGTTTTACTTATTATGAACAAAATCAAATAATAATAAGAACAGATATACTTCTACATAGTAAATGTTTCTTAATTTAGATAAAACATGTTTTAGTATTATTTTGAACAAGTTTTAAAATCAATCAAAGATTTACTGTTGATATTTAAATGTGTCAATAGTTACATAAGTAAACATTCAGCATACTTTAAGTCCTTAAAAACATTTTTAAACTTTATAGAAATCAGAAAAAAAGAGGCTCAAGATTATTAAATTAATTATTCTTTCATAAAGTATTTGTATGACATCATACGTACTTACTTGGAATAAGATTAGTAAAAGGCTGTTTTAAAGCGTTAATTATTTGTATAAGTAGATATATAAAAATATAAATATGAATTAGTTTTTAATAACATTAGCAGTATCGTTTATATAAATCTCAATATAAATTAGCTAATTTTCTAACATAAATAATTATATTAAATGTAAAAACATAAACAAATGAGATAATTGTAAATTATTTTTTTCTTTTAGAATATATAACAGATTTTCTTTAACTGTAAAAGTATAAATATAAAATAAACACCAAAGTTTTTTTTATGTTTGGCCATGCCAATACGAGAAAGAACAAAAAAATCAATATTTAAATTATTGTCAATATTTCCATTTTCACCGCCGTGGGCGCGATCTGCCCCAACTGGTTTACTATTAAGGTAGGGGTCGCAAAAGGCATCACTTGCATATATCGGTGTGTCTATCGTACATTAATATTATGCTGCAGTTGATACATGAATCACAGTTTTGCTTTATTTTATTTTAGTGTTTGGCGTCTTAAATTCACCATTGTACGTTGTTCAATGTAATTACGCAAAACATTGTCTATTAATAATAGTCTTCAATAAAATGATCATGGAGTATAACTGATTTCGTTGGGTTCTACTGTAACAAGTCATAAACTGAAGATTGAAAATTGACTGTATTATTCATTATTATTATAAAATCGCCATTTGTGCGACTGACGCATCGAATAATATTCATTTGGTACTAAGGAACGATTAAAACGTTTATGATTGTATACATTTTATCTGTTAAAATATTTTATGTAACTAATTCTATATTTTATTACATCGTTTAAAGCTTACGTTGCTAACCATAATTTAAGATATAAATTTTTGTTGTCAGGTGTTGATAGCAAGAAAAACATTTAACATTTCAAAAGAATTTGCAGTATATTAAATTTTTGTCATTTTAATTTTAATATTACCAACTACAAAAACTATGAGATTTAACTCGACGACGTGGTGTCTCGTTAAGTTGAGTAAACGTTATATATGTATTTAATGTAAATTCGAAATAAAAACTTTGAATTGACAAAACAAATGAGAAAATGCATTTACAATTACTTCACACTAAATATTTTTAATTTTTGTGAAAATAAATGTCTATTTATTAAATCTGTTTATTTTTTTATTGAGAGGTAATATTACTTTTTTGTCGTTATACATATTTTCATATGACACCATAGTTTTAATTTTTCTAATAACCTATAATGTATTCTCACCAATAAAGGTTTCGGGGAATCCGATGCAGTTGAAAAATGTTGATAAACTGCCCAATTAGTCCTTTTTTGAGTTTGCGGTGAAGATTCTATTTCGGTTACCGATTCTTCTGCAGCTTTGCGATGTTGTCGAAGACTGGTCCATTTTTTTGGTGTTTTCTAAAAAATATATTAGCATAATAAGTACACAATAGAATATCAAGTATCACTAGGCATAATATGCTTAAAAATGTATACAAAACCTAAAGCGGCCTACCAAATTCAGTTAATTCGGTAACATATTGTACCTGGGTGTGTAGGTACCGAATTCAATTGCATAGCGCCAAACTATGTAAGTTTGCCCATCCATTCTGACAAAAACAAAAACTTTTAGAGAACGTTAAATAAAATAATTTACCATACTGAAAGACACTGTATTTTATTAAAATATTCTAAATTATCCAACCGTTCAAAATTATTACATTAATGTTGTATTTTGATTTTGTAAGTATTCATATGCCCATTTATTATTTTACAAATATGGGCTATGTACTATTGTTAATTTTATATTAATGCATTTTTTCAATATAAAAAGTAGCTTTTTAAGTATTACTATACTGTAATTAAAAAAAGTAGTATTACATATTTTTAATAGGTGAGATGTTATAAAACCCTTTTTGTTGATATTCTATGAATGGTTAATTTATATCAAAAAATACTAACTGCTAATTATACTTAGTGTTGCACGTTGTTTGTTATATGTACGGGCTGAGGTGACACGAATAATTCAACACATGAGTGTCTAGTATACAACTGATTTAATTAACAAGAGATACCACCGAGCGGCGATAACAATTCCAACAATAACCGGTTCAAATACATATCAGTTTGGTTATTAGGATAACTAATTGAAAAATAAGCTTGCACTATAGAAGATAAATTTATAGGTCTTAGTCTTGCGGTTAATTGTAATAACAGTAAAACAGCCAAAGGCGTTGCTTACTAAAACCTACACCAGTAAACAAGCGTATATGAAGTGAGTAAGTCTCAAAACATAATGAATTCTTTTTATTTATTTTAATAATCCGAGTAATATTACTATTAATTGATATTTGTGTTTGTTTTTTTAATACTAAATATTTAATATTATAATATTAATTATAAATTTAATTATGGCGTTAAAGAACTTCCCACCTAGAATAAAAAATATGTTGTGATATTATATATAATTATAATATATTTTAACGGAGTTAAATGTCTCGAAAGTATTCTAAATATATTTTATAAATTTATAAAGTCTCGATTCCTAGTGATGAGTGTATTAGTATAATATAAGTTATATCCAATCTGATTTGATAATATATCAGGTTAACATTCAGCTACTTGTACTTCGGGAAAATCCATTTTCAATAAAATGAGCAAATCTTCTTTTCCCTCGTCTTAATCATAACTTTTTTAGGTTAACTACTCGTATCCCAAACCTTTATTTGACACAGTCTCCCACATAATCTATACACACACCAGCAGTCATCAAATTACCCCAATTACACACAGACACCCCTTTTATGGTCTTCCTCTTCTTACTTCAACGTTCATTTCTATAATCACTCTTACAGCTTTTGATTTTTCTCTCCTCATAATATGATTGAACTATCTGTGCCTATTTTTTGTCTTTACAAATAACAATTTAACACTCAAAATATTATAAGAGTATGGAGTTCTAAATAATGTAACGTGACAAAAAGATATCCCATCATTTCTTATCTAATTGTATATTAATTAATTTTGGTTCAACTATCAGTATGTGCGATGGCATATAATATTTTTATGTTTTGATTTTGTGTGTTATGTTTGGGCGTGTTATCTGTATCAGCCGTGTCATAAATATTACTACTACGAACAGATTGGTGGATATCAAAATGTCTACACTCAATTTTTCAGTCTGTGAAGCTCTATAATGGACTGAACACCACTAAACGTATCATTGATTATTACATTGTCCAGTGTAGACTTACTATTACATTAATTTTAGTTTCTGTAATTTCCGACTGACCTTATCCCCTAGGTGTTTGAGAGTGCATTATTAAAGTCCTCTATGCAATTCCATCAGTTTAACCGATATGACACACCAGTTGTCGGAAATTAGCCTCATTGGAACTGGTTAGCGTTAATTTTCTATCGTAGCGAGCATTTATTTTTGTTGTTGTTGTATGCATTATCATTTTATGTGAATTATTTTTTTTTTTTACAAAAGTCCGCTACATTTAATATGTATTTTTAATTTATATATAGCATCGGTTGAGTCTGACTTTGTCTTCTTAGCTATTCGCGGGACTGATATTCGCGGATATTTTTTATATAAAATATATTAAGCCAATTTTTAAAAAAAAATTTAGTGCACCGTGTTATATGTACGTGTTACGGAATTTTTTTACATATATATTTTTTTGTAGGAGCTCCTATTATTTTATAGGTCCCTTGACATAGCAAGTGTGTTAAAAGACCACCTGTCATGTTTATGTAGTTTTTTTTTATAAAATTTTCCCAACGGTAAGGNTTTTTTTATGAGCAATGATAAGTTACAAAGAATAGAAAAATTATGTACTTAATGGTTTATGAATATTTAACAAATCCGATTTATCATAAATTATAAAAACCCTAGCTTCTTCATTTTTTTTTATGAAAATTTTTGAGTCCTTGAACCATACAAATTTATAATCATTCTCTTTTGCAAAATTTCTGGTATTATAAAATAGTTCACTGTTGTACTTAGTAAGATAATTATTAATGTAAATACCTGTTTCTCCCCAATTTTTATTTACAGAGCTAGCATTCATTTTTATTTTCTTCGAAGCCTCCATAATTTTCTTTTTTTGATCCAAGGAAGATATTTCAGCAACTATTTTCGAAGATTTGTTTTGAAATTTCGAAATTATACGATATGCTTTGTTTACTGTAACTTTTTGATCCAACTTCTCAGCAATACTCTCAACTATTTTTATACAATTTTCTTTTTTAACTTCAGGAATACCTATTATTTCAATATAGTTTGAAATCGAATTTTGTTCTAACATATTTACACGTTTTGACAAGGCAGACAATTCATTATTTAAAACCTGGTTTTTTTCTTTAAGTAGATTATTTTCATTTTTCAGTTCTTTTATAGTTTTCAGTACTTCTTTTAATTGCTTGCCAAATTCGTCAAATTGGCTACTGAGAAAATTTACAGATCGTGTAAGCGTAGTTAACGAGTCATTCGATTCAATTATATTGTTTACGTTTTTATCTTTTGAGATTACAACTGTATTAGTTTTACGCGAAGTTATGGGATCATTTGATTCAAATATATATTTAAATGTGTCAATAGTTACATAAGTAAACATTCAGCATACTTTAAGTCCTTATAAACATTTTTAAACTTTATAGAAATCAGAAAAAAAGAGGCTCAAGATTATTAAATTAATTATTCTTTCATAAAGTATTTGTATGACATCATACGTACTTACTTGGAATAAGATTAGTAAAAGGCTGTTTTAAAGCGTTAATTATTTGTATAAGTAGATATATAAAAATATAAATATGAATTAGTTTTTAATAACATTAGCAGTATCGTTTATATAAATCTCAATATAAATTAGCTAATTTTCTAACATAAATAATTATATTAAATGTAAAAACATAAACAAATGAGATAATTGTAAATTATTTTTTTCTTTTAGAATATATAACAGATTTTCTTTAACTGTAAAAGTATAAATATAAAATAAACACCAAAGTTTTTTTTATGTTTGGCCATGCCAATACGAGAAAGAACAAAAAAATCAATATTTAAATTATTGTCAATATTTCCATTTTCACCGCCGTGGGCGCGATCTGCCCCAACTGGTTTACTATTAAGGTAGGGGTCGCAAAAGGCATCACTTGCATATATCGGTGTGTCTATCGTACATTAATATTATGCTGCAGTTGATACATGAATCACAGTTTTGCTTTATTTTATTTTAGTGTTTGGCGTCTTAAATTCACCATTGTACGTTGTTCAATGTAATTACGCAAAACATTGTCTATTAATAATAGTCTTCAATAAAATGATCATGGAGTATAACTGATTTCGTTGGGTTCTACTGTAACAAGTCATAAACTGAAGATTGAAAATTGACTGTATTATTCATTATTATTATAAAATCGCCATTTGTGCGACTGACGCATCGAATAATATTCATTTGGTACTAAGGAACGATTAAAACGTTTATGATTGTATACATTTTATCTGTTAAAATATTTTATGTAACTAATTCTATATTTTATTACATCGTTTAAAGCTTACGTTGCTAACCATAATTTAAGATATAAATTTTTGTTGTCAGGTGTTGATAGCAAGAAAAACATTTAACATTTCAAAAGAATTTGCAGTATATTAAATTTTTGTCATTTTAATTTTAATATTACCAACTACAAAAACTATGAGATTTAACTCGACGACGTGGTGTCTCGTTAAGTTGAGTAAACGTTATATATGTATTTAATGTAAATTCGAAATAAAAACTTTGAATTGACAAAACAAATGAGAAAATGCATTTACAATTACTTCACACTAAATATTTTTAATTTTTGTGAAAATAAATGTCTATTTATTAAATCTGTTTATTTTTTTATTGAGAGGTAATATTACTTTTTTGTCGTTATACATATTTTCATATGACACCATAGTTTTAATTTTTCTAATAACCTATAATGTATTCTCACCAATAAAGGTTTCGGGGAATCCGATGCAGTTGAAAAATGTTGATAAACTGCCCAATTAGTCCTTTTTTGAGTTTGCGGTGAAGATTCTATTTCGGTTACCGATTCTTCTGCAGCTTTGCGATGTTGTCGAAGACTGGTCCATTTTTTTGGCGTTTTCTAAAAAATATATTAGCATAATAAGTACACAATAGAATATCAAGTATCACTAGGCATAATATGCTTAAAAATGTATACAAAACCTAAAGCGGCCTACCAAATTCAGTTAATTCGGTAACATATTGTACCTGGGTGTGTAGGTACCGAATTCAATTGCATAGCGCCAAACTATGTAAGTTTGCCCATCCATTCTGACAAAAACAAAAACTTTTAGAGAACGTTAAATAAAATAATTTACCATACTGAAAGACACTGTATTTTATTAAAATATTCTAAATTATCCAACCGTTCAAAATTATTACATTAATGTTGTATTTTGATTTTGTAAGTATTCATATGCCCATTTATTATTTTACAAATATGGGCTATGTACTATTGTTAATTTTATGTTAATGCATTTTTTCAATATAAAAAGTAGCTTTTTAAGTATTACTATACTGTAATTAAAAAAAGTAGTATTACATATTTTTAATAGGTGAGATGTTATAAAACCCTTTTTGTTGATATTCTATGAATGGTTAATTTATATCAAAAAATACTAACTGCTAATTATACTTAGTGTTGCACGTTGTTTGTTATATGTACGGGCTGAGGTGACACGAATAATTCAACACATGAGTGTCTAGTATACAACTGATTTAATTAACAAGAGATACCACCGAGCGGCGATAACAATTCCAACAATAACCGGTTCAAATACATATCAGTTTGGTTATTAGGATAACTAATTGAAAAATAAGCTTGCACTATAGAAGATAAATTTATAGGTCTTAGTCTTGCGGTTAATTGTAATAACAGTAAAACAGCCAAAGGCGTTGCTTACTAAAACCTACACCAGTAAACAAGCGTATATGAAGTGAGTAAGTCTCAAAACATAATGAATTCTTTTTATTTATTTTAATAATCCGAGTAATATTACTATTAATTGATATTTGTGTTTGTTTTTTTAATACTAAATATTTAATATTATAATATTAATTATAAATTTAATTATGGCGTTAAAGAACTTCCCACCTAGAATAAAAAATATGTTGTGATATTATATATAATTATAATATATTTTAACGGAGTTAAATGTCTCGAAAGTATTCTAAATATATTTTATAAATTTATAAAGTCTCGATTCCTAGTGATGAGTGTATTAGTATAATATAAGTTATATCCAATCTGATTTGATAATATATCAGGTTAACATTCAGCTACTTGTACTTCGGGAAAATCCATTTTCAATAAAATGAGCAAATCTTCTTTTCCCTCGTCTTAATCATAACTTTTTTAGGTTAACTACTCGTATCCCAAACCTTTATTTGACACAGTCTCCCACATAATCTATACACACACCAGCAGTCATCAAATTACCCCAATTACACCCAGACACCCCTTTTATGGTCTTCCTCTTCTTACTTCAACGTTCATTTCTATAATCACTCTTACAGCTTTTGATTTTTCTCTCCTCATAATATGATTGAACTATCTGTGCCTATTTTTTGTCTTTACAAATAACAATTTAACACTCAAAATATTATAAGAGTATGGAGTTCTAAATAATGTAACGTGACAAAAAGATATCCCATCATTTCTTATCTAATTGTATATTAATTAATTTTGGTTCAACTATCAGTATGTGCGATGGCATATAATATTTTTATGTTTTGATTTTGTGTGTTATGTTTGGGCGTGTTATCTGTATCAGCCGTGTCATAAATATTACTACTACGAACAGATTGGTGGATATCAAAATGTCTACACTCAATTTTTCAGTCTGTGAAGCTCTATAATGGACTGAACACCACTAAACGTATCATTGATTATTACATTGTCCAGTGTAGACTTACTATTACATTAATTTTAGTTTCTGTAATTTCCGACTGACCTTATCCCCTAGGTGTTTGAGAGTGCATTATTAAAGTCCTCTATGCAATTCCATCAGTTTAACCGATATGACACACCAGTTGTCGGAAATTAGCCTCATTGGAACTGGTTAGCGTTAATTTTCTATCGTAGCGAGCATTTATTTTTGTTGTTGTTGTATGCATTATCATTTTATGTGAATTATTTTTTTTTTTTACAAAAGTCCGCTACATTTAATATGTATTTTTAATTTATATATAGCATCGGTTGAGTCTGACTTTGTCTTCTTAGCTATTCGCGGGACTGATATTCGCGGATATTTTTTATATAAAATATATTAAGCCAATTTTTAAAAAAAAATTTAGTGCACCGTGTTATATGTACGTGTTACGGAATTTTTTTACATATATATTTTTTTGTAGGAGCTCCTATTATTTTATAGGTCCCTTGACATAGCAAGTGTGTTAAAAGACCACCTGTCATGTTTATGTAGTTTTTTTTTATAAAATTTTCCCAACGGTAAGGGACACGTTTAAAGACTGCGCGTTTTAATTATTAATTATTTATTTATTAGGGATGAATATTTCACTGACAACGTGATACGATTAGTGGTGTTTCATTTAACTCAAGGTGTCCCAATTTGTTGCGATAGTTTGTCGGATTGGAGCGATATGCAAACACACGGAGGCATTCATCGCATTCTCTAGTATAAAATTGTAACTTATATACTTAAGTTGTATGTGAAACTTTTATTAATGTCTTATTCTTTTTTCTGATCCCTTTAATTTGCAGACAAAATTTTTTGACTGTTAGGTTTTTTGTCTCGTGTTAACTTAAATTGTTTTTTATTTAATAAAGTCCTCTTTATTTAACTTAATCATGAACTTTTTTTCATGTGTGTTGCATCTTCAATGGACTTGTTGAATACAAATCTGATAAATGCGCTGTTGATGGACATAAAAAAAATGATCTCACTAAGTATATCAATGAAAATCAGGAAAATAAAATTGAAACTCAATTTCAATTTAAATTATATCTAAAACTTTTTAAAAGGCTTGAATAATTATTTTGTCATATTTTCAATGATGATGATCAGTTTTACATCCTTCTATTCCCGAACTTAACATACTACAGAGAGTCGTAGTCCTCTATTACTTGTTAAGGAGTCAAAGATGGTTATTGACTAAGCCAATGATGGATGGTACGGGTATTATGGCCAGCTTGCACTAGAGACTCTCCGACACAAACAATGAGATAATCACAAGAATCTCGTTGGCACCTTGGGGATCGAACACGGGACCCCGAACGCCGAAACATGCGTATCTACCAAATTATGCATCGTTAATGTTGTTGTCGCCTTTTTTGTCCCTTGACAAAGTGTAATGTGCTGCCTTGTCATGCATAGTACTTTTTTTTATATAGATAATAGCTCTAGTGATACACTATTACGCAAATATAGTAAATCACCCTGCGATTCGCCTTTACACTTGTACATCGTGATATAATTGCCTTGCAATTACTCCAACCCACTGGTGTTAATGAATGATTTGATGACAAAGTTCATTTCATTTGTGCTATTTTTTAAGACTACAATAATTGACAAGTACTTAATTATTTGTCATTATTTAATCATATTTATATATACAGAGTGATTTTTTTATCATAACCCACTCAATTACTTACAGAATAATAATAATTAAAAATTTTTTTTTTATTACTATCTTTAGTTACACATTATTCTTGAATTATTAACTATGTAATACTTTTTAAGATCATCCCTTATGCCTGGTAAGGGTGTCAACTTTGTTTTTTTAAAAGGTAACACATATTTTGAATTTAATAAAATGTTTGAGTTTTCAATTCAATAACAAATGTCATTTGAATTTTTAATATAACTTTATTCGTTTATTAGATTTAAACATTTAAAGTTNGTTTATTAGATATAAACATTTAAAGTTTCAATTTTTTGAGTTAATATATAGGTATAATACACAAGGGATTACAAATACAGGTAGCTAATTGATTTTTTATGATATTGCTATCACAGTCACGGATTGTTTATTATCAATTATGACTATCAATAGATATACATTTTGTATTGTCAGTTAGTATATTTATAAACTCANTGTATTGTCAGTTAGTGTATTTATAAACTCACAACAATGTGTCTTACTACCATTGATAATAACAATGCTTTGTACCTGCTAATATCGATGTCATAAAAAACCAATTAGCTACCTGTAATTTTAATCCCTAGTGTATTATACATGTATATTAACTCAAAAAATTGAAACTTTAAATGTTTATATCTAATAAACGAATAAAGTTATATTAAAAATTCAAATGACATTTGTTATTGAATTGAAAACTCAAACATTTTATTAAATTCAAAATATGTGTTACCATTTAAAAAAACAAAGTTGACACCCTTACCAGGCATAAGGGATGATCTTAAAAAGTATTACATAGTTAATAATTCAAGAATAATGTGTAACTAAAGATAGTAATAAAAAAAAAATTTTTAATTATTATTATTCTGTAAGTAATTGAGTGGGTTATGATAAAAAAATCACTCTGTATATATATATATATATATGATTTTTTAATAAATTAATTTTGCCTCTTCATATAGCCCATTTCTATAATTCTTTTTCCTGACTGTTTAAAGACAAAACAACGGACTTTAACTAACTCGCAAGAGTATCACCGAGTGTAACGTCCAAACAGGATTCTTGTATTTTATTTCTATGACCCTTCAAAAATCATCTTACCCTAGTTTATAAAACATGGGAAACAGATATTTTTAAGGTCGTCCAATATAAATATGGTAAAAAGACAATATAGACATGAGAATTTTGGTGCACATCAACTGTTAACTACTCAATGATCATCAGATTTAATTTAATTTATATTACTACGTATTTTTTGCACTAAATTTTTAATTTGACATGATTCAAATGAATAATTTTTTTCTTTGTATGTTTTTTTTAGTTTAATAACGATTTGTAAAGCATTTTTCCCAAATCGATAAAATAATTAAACTAATTTCAGTGTTTACAAACATTAAGAAACCTTAAAAAAGCAACAATAGAAGAAGCTTTATAAATCCATAAAATTAAGATATCAATTATCCTACGTCGCATATCCCTTTAGCCTATACTTAAAAATGACTTTAACTCAAAAAGTAATAATGCAAAACTGTATCAAACTCTTTAAAAGTAAAAAAAATTCTATTTCATTTTCTAAAACTACTATTAAATATTCCCTATTAAAAAAGTTTTTATTTACAATAAAATTCATATTCATCATGGATTAAAAAAATTTATTTATTTATTTTTAGTACACTCTTTTGAAAAAACATTTAACAAAAAAATTGGAACTATTATTTTTAATAAATCATACTGTTTATGTAAAATATATAAATGTAAAAGCTTATAGAATAATTAAATATTCTGATATTCAAATGGCCAGAAAAACGTATAATATTTTACAAAATAGTAAATTAAATAATAATGACTGCTCGATAAAAAAATTCTATTTAAGAATACATTTATTGTGATTTTTATAAATCAGGGATTCAAAAGGTTATGTTATGCATAACCTTTTGAAATCCTCGTTATAACTGTTACATTTTAAACAAAATTTTTAATTTAAAACACAAAGAAAAACAAAAAACATAAAAAAAATTGTGATATATTAAACATAAAATATGATTATAATTAGTGATGGGCATTTTCGAATATTTTAAACTATTCGAATTGTTTTTATACAACCGCATAGTGTGCTGTTATTATAGACTATCGAATAGTTTTAAAAAATATGTTTATGGGCTCGCGAATGGTTTCAAAAAATATTCGATTAGTTTTATCTAAAATTTTTATTAAGTACACTTAATTATAATAAGAAGATAATTAGCGAATACTTAAAATAAATTATTATACAATTAATAATAGTAAAAAGTACCATTTTATTTATTTTTAGTTTGTGAGTCGTTGGTAAAAACTGATAA